AGATTTCTAATAGGGTACATCTCTATCTCTAAAGGCGTCGGGCCTTCTCATGGCTGCACTGTGATGAAGTCTGCAAGTTCTGTATTTTTTGTATGAATTTTGATCTTGAGTAGGTTTTAACATGAAGCTTTTCAAAGCTAACAGCATTTAAAAACACAGCTTAAAGCATTACAGTGTGCAGAGAGAGTAGGGTTCTGTTTTTCCCTTTGATATAAAACTGAGGTTTACCTCCCTGTTTGTTTTCATCCTCCTGCAAAGCCATTCACCACAGAGCTCACACAGCAAGCAGCACCTGCGTGGCGTGCAGAGGGCTGGCTGAAATAGTTGTGGCTGTGACTGAAGGTTCTGCAGACGAGTGCTCTGCACTGGGTGTTTATGCACAGCACACCCTGTTTCAGCCACCCGTGGAAGCAGTTCTAACACGGACCCACCAGCTGTGATGTGCTGTCTGTGTCAGTGAGCTAATGCTGCAGAACTGCCCCCGGGGGGGTGCTAGGGTAATGGAAATGGGAACTGGTCTGGTACTAAGGCTCTACTGGTACGTATACAAAATTGGCTCTGACATGTGGCTGTTGAACAAAGTTGGACCTGGTTTCCGTGCTGAAATTTGGTGAAGTCAGGTTCTCTGTGTTCCTGCAGGGGACTTGGCTACAGGAACAACGCCTTTCCTCGGTCTTTCTTTGCTGACGCTCCCTTTTTCTGCTCACATCTTTGAAACAAAATCCATTCAGACACGGAATGTGGGGATGTGCTAATTCACAGCAGTTACAGGGTGTGAACAGGGCTCTGTTGATGTTGCTACGTAATTCTATTTCTTGCTTTTGCTTCTATCTTTGCTAAATCTGCTTGATTTCTCTGTGTCTTTCTGTACAGGTTACAAAAGTACGATCTCTTGCAGCCCTTAGGATAGGAACGAGGTAGAGATCAACAGAAGACCTGGGGTCAGCCAAGGCCTGCTGTTGCGCCTCTAAATCTGGACAGTTTTCAGCACTTTACCTTAGGTGCTGCCTGGTCCACAAAGACTTTTCGGGACGGACCGGGAAGCACTGTTCCAACATCTCGTTAATGTTTGGTTCTCTCATGCTCTCTAGAAATCTTTCCTTTGTTGTCTTTTCCTGGGAGAAAATGAGCTCTTAGAAGTACTGAAGTTGTTTTCCCCCGTAAAACAGGAGCCAATACTGATGTATTAATCTTTGACATGTGATGGAACGTGTTAGATGGGTGGTGATGTGACCCTGCCAAGTGTTGGGGAACTTGAAGGCTTTGACCACTGCGTCTGACCATATCCAGCCTGGGTAGAGAGAAATGAGGGTAGATACTTTCCAAGTTTTATTGGTTTTCTACGCCATTTCTAATAGCCTTGATGATGCAGGAATACTGTCAGGTATTTTTTAATGTAAAACTACGGATTTGCTATGTCTGTACATACGTTTCCAGTGTAAGAACCTGTTGCTATCTGCCTTTTGTATGCTATTAGAACGTGCATACTGTGTATACATAACTGCAATGAATTGTGCACCCTGCACAAAAGCCTGAATAAATGGGTTTTAATGTTGATCTGAAGAATCACTATTCATTCGATGATCGGTCTTACTAATGGTCAGACGGCACCGATTTCATTTCTCAGAGAACTTTTGTTTGTGGTACCCACCTGTGACCGAGTTACTGTCCATGAACACTGTGATCAGGTATGGCTGAGAATAAATCGTTCCTGAAGGAGAAGATGGGAACTGGTAAATAAGGGACTTGAGTGGATGGACACCTGAATTATTGGGAATACCAAACCCTGAAATCTTCTGTGTTGGTCACATTGCTGTCACACATGCTGGCTACTCAGGCTGAGATTTGTGTGGATAGATCATCACAGCACTTACATGTGAGCCCGTAGATGCCATATGCATCTGAAATCCTTGGCCAAACCTGCTGAAAGAGGGAGATGCTGTGGTGGTCCCCGAGGCTGCTGCCGAGCCTCGGTGCTGCCGCGGTGCCTGGGCTGTGCCTGCTGTAGCGCTGCAGGGAGCCTTGCTGACTGTGCGTTTTGCCACTCAACAGACTTGGGAGTGCCTCTGCAGTGACTGCGCCTGGAAGCAGCCTTCTCGGAGAGCTTGTTTACTTTGTTTCTAACCATGAGAGGTAATGAGGCACTTTCATGTGCAAAATCCTCTTGAGGGCTTTATCTACTGCTGCGTTTCCTTTTCTGATCTCTGCTGCCCACCGTGTGGTATTGGTTTTGTTGTCAGTGTTCAGGTTCACTAGTGAATGTGCTACAGTGCTGCAGAGAAGGAATTGCACAAGGCAGTGTGTTTTAGCAGCTTGAATTTGGGGGGGAAGGGGAAAGTGATTTTGTCATCATATATCTTTGGGGGCACGCTTACAGGGTAGAAACAGTGCCTCTGGTGAACGCCATGGGGGTTTGACCATAGAGTTGAGCGGGGAAGATTTTCACCTTGGAAAGGGCTTTGTTACTGCTGGGATAGCAGGCAGGAGGTTGCCATCAATACAGGTCTGCTGATATGTCTGTGCAATGGAGCTGTGTGTTGCCTGCTGGGTGTTGTACAATGAAGGGAGAGGAGGTGGGGGGTGCAGACCCACAGGCAGCCATCACGGAGGAGTTCAGCCTGCTCCCCGGGGCAGGAAGCTCGGAGCAGCGCTTCCCTTCCTCGTGTTCTCCCAGCAGCGTCCATGTTTCAGAGCTCAGCTCCTCACTGCTCGGATCAGGCAGGGCAATAACATAACTTTATATACACACACACACGTGTTTCTTGGCTTCTCCGTGTGTATGACTACATGTCTGCTGCTGCTTTGCTTTCCCTCATTCACATGCACTGGCAGGTACCAGGTGCTGTTATCCCACAGACTGGTTCTCAGTGGCAGAAGATGGGATGGGCGAGTTATGTTTCAATAAGATCGCAGTGAAGGCTTCTAGTAGGGTAATGATCCTGCTTCCCTGCATGTTGTGCCATGCTTACGCTTTCCATTTTTATCATGCTGATGTTTTCCTTTCCCTGAAGCAATTCCAAAAAGGCTCCAAGCACAGCACTGGACTGTGTCCTGTGTCTCCCAGCTTTGGGTGCTGACTAACTTCAGGTTGGGCGTGAGGGGAAATTTCTTCTCAGGAAGAGTGGTGAGGCAGTGGCACAGGCTGCCCAGGGAGGTGGAGGTGAGTCACCGTCCCTGGGGGGTTCAAGAAATGTAAAGGTGTGACACTGAGGAACGTGGTGAGTGGGCATGGTGGGGATGGGTTGGGGTTGGACCGGATGTTCTTAGTGGTCTTTTCCAACCTGAATGATTCTGAGATTCTGTTCTATCTAACTAACCCACCTCACAGTGGGAGGACTCTGGTGGAGGGCTGAGAAGAGGCCTGGCCCCAGCGGGCGACTCTGCAAAATGGGGCAACCCCAGGGCAAAGGGGAAAAAAGATTGCTTCTGAAATGAGCAAAACAGAGCCTAAATCCAGGTGTGCATTTAAGAAATATGAATTGAATCCCACGGCCTTTGTGTGGCACAGGAAGGCTGGGTGCCCCGCACAGCCCTGGCCCCAGCCCAGCCCAGCTCTCCCTCCTGGGCATATCAGGTCACCAGAAGGCAGCAGCAGCCCCGGGTCAGCCCCGCAATCGGGGGATCTCTGTAATGTGAGCCTGGTCCACGTAAAAACCTGCTGCTCACGCTGATCACCATCTCCTTGTCTCCTGCTCCCGTTGCCCACGCTTCACTGGTTCATGTAAATTAATAGCGGCGTTTAATTTCCTTTGTACCCACCTGCTGCTCTTGGCATGCTCATCTGTGAGGGGAGGGGAAGAAGGGCCGATGGCCGCGCCGCCTGGCTCTGGCAGCCCTCAGCCCCTGGGGCAGCAACTCCACCTGGGGGTGGCTATGGGCCCGGGGCTGCCATAGTGATGGGGGTGATCCATCACTTGGTGCAGTCGTAGCCATTTCTGCCCCGTGGTGCTTCCCTGTCTTGGCACGGCCTTACAGGTGCACCTGTGTGTTACTACAAGAGCTACTGGGATGCTGCAGGCCGTCTGCTTCTGGGCCTTCAGCTCCAGCATGGCAGCCTTCAACTGCAGCATAACACCTCTGTGGCCACTGAGGGCTGCTGGGATCCCTGACAGGCTCTTTTTAAAGAGTCACAAGATACGTTTTTAGCCTGATAACATGTTCTCTGTGGTGGTCTTCCCAAGCTTACCTTGAAGGATGCAAACAGGCAAATCCCTGTGGGAGTGAGCCCCTGCCATCCTGCCTGACCCATCTGCTGGCCCTGACATTCCAGCTTCACTCCATCATCTCCCATTGCCCAGAGGAGGCAAACACACACAGCGTGCTCAGCCACGGTGCAGCCAATACAAATGACTGTGCAGAGTGCTTGCACCAAGTGAATTGTCAGTGGGCACAGCTGCTTAAGGGCTCTAGGTTGCTTTTCAGGCCAACCACCCACCCTATCTGCACCACTCTCAGCCTTGCTCCTGGCTGCAGAGCTGACAGGGCACCCAAACCCAGCAGGTCAACCCCAGCCAGCAGTGCAATTCTGCACAACTTTCCACAGCATCGTGTGTGCTCAACAGTCTGCTTCCACAGCTTCTGTTGTACCTTTGCATTCAACAAATAACTTTGCAAAATTCTGAGATAAACTGCTGGAGTGATGCACTTAAAGATAAATAGATGTGTAGCAATACTTGAAGGCAGAGCAGCTCTGCTGGTGCGCAGTCTTCATCCAGATTCTGCTACCAATGACAGCCACGGCTGTGTGTCCAGAGCCCCAGCCCTCTCACCAAGAGAAAGGACTGGAAAGAGCCCATTAAATATGCTTTACTGCCTTAAAAATGAACTTATGCTCTGTAATCACTGCATGTGTTTGAACCTCTCAGTTGTGGCACTGTTGGGTGAATTGACTCAACGGGAGCCGTTGTGCTGTGCAGGTCAGGACACAGAGCTGCTCTATGCTCTGCTGCCATCGATGCTGCTCTCTAAATTCGTACGTATGAAACAAAACAGCTCACCAGTGAGGAAAACGAATCTTTATTTTTTCTCTAAAAGCAGAATCCAGATACATGTTTTTGGAATGGTTTAGATGGTGGCTTTAGGATGGGAGTAGTCACATCACAGAAATGACACAGAACAACCAGTGAAGGAACGAAGAGCATTTGACAATTGCTTTACCAATTAGTCCCAACACTACTCTTAACTAATGGCTTTGCCAGAACAGCCTTTAGAATTGTGGAAAACTTCACCTACTCAATACAAGCACAGGGATAATGAGGGAAAAGGAACTGCTGAACGTAATTATTGCTGCCGTAGCTGTGTTTCTATTTCCTTGCACAATGTTCCATAATGTGCTGACACAACATTTCTTAAATACCAGAATGATTAAGAGTGTCATTCACATAAATAAGAAACAACCAACCAGCCAACCTAACCTTTTAAATCAGACTTCACTGAAGAATAACAAAATAATTCATCCTACAAAAACAGAGGTTTGCCTTTAGAAGGCGTAGACTGTTACACCAGTGAAACAGTGAGGATGAATGTGCTGAGATGCCAAGGAATAGATTTGGTTTCTGCATGCTTCCAGCTCCTCATGTGGCTATTAGATCTGAGAGGGGAAGAGAACTATTGCTGTCATTTCCCCTTTAGAGGTGCAAGGACAGACAGAGTAACAATCAGTTCAAGTGTAAGTTACACCAAGCCTTTAAGACCTGGAAATGGGAGGTGGAGAATGATTTACAGCATGCTCCCAACTATGAACAACTCAACGTACCAACAATGCCTTTATCGACAGCTCCCATGTATCTCACTGCCTTGTACCAAAGCAAACCCCATCACACACAGACACCAGTATGATCCACGCATGTAGAGACACTGCACGTGGGATCAGGCTGCGAGACACCAGCTCCTGATGAAGCCTTAAGATAGCTGTGACTATGGGCAGTGCGCTGTGGAACATCCACACACAGAATCTGAACGTCCCTCCCGTTCCCCACCACGAGGCCAGCTGGAACAACCACCTCACACTGACGATTTTCACACTGGTTACACGGTGAGTCTAAACGGTGTGCACATATATACTGAAGTTCAAAGAAAATTCTTAAATCCTACCCCCTTGATAATTTACAGAGTGTATAAAAGGCATGACTTGACGCTTATAAAACCTCAGCCCTTTTGTAAAAACAAACAAACAATAAAAAACAACAAAACAAGGCCACAGGATTTCGTTTTAAGCTTTAATCTGTTGTTACCTTCATTTCAGCAGCTTAAGCTCCTACACTAAATCACAGATACACTCCTCCGTGGCCTTCAAAGCAAGAAATAAATTAGCAAGAGTCACACTGTAAATCAAAATAAATAATTTCTACATTACTTTTTATTAAAAAAACGGTCTTTTTAATTGCACAGTATTTTAAATTTTCAGTAGCAATGCAAAGTCAGTTGGGTATTTTCTAAATGCTCCAGACAGCAGGAAAGCATCGTACCACGCTGCAGCCAGCAGCACCAGCCCGGCCCCGTCACACACCCCTCACCCTGCCGTGGTGCCCGGGCCCTGTGAGGTGCTCTGTGTGCACACACAGGTTTGGTACTTTATGGCAGCTCCCATTCGCTGCCACTTTCCCAGCAGAAGATGGGATGATTCAACAAGAGTCCAAAGGCCGCGGGTGTCACCAGGCTGGCTCTCCTTTCTGGGGTGCTGCATGCATGCAGCACGCTGCCGGCTCTCCCCACAGCAGTTTGCAGCAGAGGACCGAGTTATAGTTCAGACATAGCAGAGAAAACACGGCTCCTGCAGGGACGTGGTCTTACGTCCAGCCATTAGCAGCAGTTGGCAAGCAAGGGCAAGGTATTGAAAATGAAACATTTAAAGGTGTTTGTAGAAAGACATCGTAGCGATTAATACCATCACATCCCGGGCAGCCCGAGCTCAAAGTCAGGTGCCCACAGGATGCATTTAAGAACTCTAAATACTGACAACAGCCCTTGCATAGAGAACAGCGGAGCGGACGCCTGACATCGACGTGCACCCAAACACGGTGCATCTGCACACTGTGACAAGAGAACTGCTCTCATGGCTCAGGTCCTGCTTGCACACACAGCTTCTGCGAAGCACCCCAACAGCTCTCGATGCCGAGGGAAGGGAAGTGGTGGGATGGAGCTAACCTGAAGGTTCTCCTCTGTAACTGCAGCGCTTGCAGTGAAGACAATATTGACAAGATACCCCTTACCATTTAAGCCCAGCTGTTTGCATCAGTGCAATTCCGTAGCCAGCAGTACCACCTGCCCAGTACCACTCCTCCCCACATACTGCTGGTACTGCTCCCTGTACAGATCGGTCTGCCCCTCTTCCTCCAATACTCACAACTACAACAAAGGAAGAACCAAGCCCTACCGTTTGTCCCCCACTCATTTTGTTCACCCAACGTAAGAGCGTCTAAAGGGAACCAGCACCTCATTGCACAACATCAATAATCACCACGTAACTCCTGTTCTTACACTTTCAAAGTGTTTTTAGTGCTTCGGCACCAAGCACAGAACGTACAATGGGAATTTTCTACCAACCAACACACTCGCAGGGGTTCAGTGCTGCATTAAATCTGTGGAGGCATCCGAGATCCGGGCACCACAGCGTGTCTCCTGTTGGCTTCAGCAGTACGATGTGAAGCCTGGAGGCCAGAGGGCCCTGGGCACACAGCACAGGGTGTTCTGATGTTCATGGGACAGGGGAGATGAAACGCTTCTACTACAAACACACGTTGCTGTTCGCGTTCAAGGAATTCAGCTTTTGGCAGAAGCAAATCCCTACATAATAAATAAACATAGAAACTCATTAAAAACACAGGTACAATAGCTGCATTGTTAAAACAGCTGCATCTACACTATGGTGTAGTACTGACGTGTCATTCCATTCAAAAAATCTTAGGTGTGCAACCCAGGTGAGACCCACCGACCTCTGCAAACCTCAGCATCAGCACTACGTCAGCCCCTGCGCTCCAGCAACGCCTGCAGGCAGCCACCAACCAAAGCGAGGGGAAGGCTACAGCCGGACAGACAGCTCCTGCGCCGTCCCACGGACAGGCAAACGCAGGTCCCACACCAAATCAGCAGTAAGAGCCATCTGGAGCACTACTTCCTGAAATAGTTTGCTGAACACGGTTCAGATTATTGGATATGTCTATAAGCACAATGCTCTTCAGAAGCATTTACTGTATACCCAAATCCTACTCACTGCCACACACGGTGTCGCACGAGTAGTGAAAATGTCTTCGTATTCAAAGGTGCTTGGACATCATTTTCAGGCAGCATTTTACCTTTATTTTAGTGAGTTCACACTATGAAGATTTTAGGAGGAAGAAGATGCCAATAGTTTCTTTAGTTTCTTTTCTTTTTTTTTTTTAAATATGTGAAATTGAGACAGACACCTCAACAAATAACTATTTTTACTCGCCTAAATCTATTCTACATCTGAAATCTCTATTTTTTCAATAAGAGATAAAATGTTGCCCAAAAGCCTGTAGCCATACGTTTGTGTTTCTACTAAATCTACAAATCAAAATAGTTCTCAGTTAAAAAGATACAATTTGTATCAACAGTAAAAGGTACTTTCTGGTTCTTCAGGGCCTTTACATTCCAGCAAGTGTACCAAAATGATCAGCAGTAATTGTGTAAACCAGTGGTTTGTTAACACTGAAAAAATGTTACAATGGAGGGAAACCTAAAACTGTAGGCAACTGACTATGTCATGTAAGTACAACCGACATCAATTGCAAAATCTATTTCTATTTTATATATATAGATGTATATATATATAAAAGCTTAGAGGTGCTAGTAAAACCCATGACTTAAAACCAGAAATATCCCTTACTAGTACTAGAGCAGACTCACTCGGTCTGCTGCTAAGACTACGCTACCTGTGGCAAGCATTGGCTCCGCGACGCAGCAGGCCAGGAACTGATGCCAGGAACACACACAGCCCCTTCTTCCCAGCCCTCCCTCCCATCTGCAACACAAAGACAAAAAGTTTCACTTGTTCTTTTGAGCTACAATATCGTCACCATAGTGCAGTTAATAAATGTTGCATATCCTCAACACACAAACCCTTCCAGGCCAGCCTTGATAAATAACAAGTAAAATCAAACAGTGTCTTAAATACAAAACTTGCATTGAGATAATTAAATTCATTTAAAAACGGGTAAATATTTTATGAAAAACGTATTTTATCCGGTACACTTGTGCAGCAATACAAAGAAAGACACGTGAAACATCTAAACAGAACCCTAGCAAGTCAGGCCCCTTTCTACTGACCCGGAACAGCACGTGGGGATGGAAGCAAGGCGGCCTGTTTCTTGGAGGTACCGAGTGTTGGCAGTCTCTGCTGGGCTCAAAGGGGCTGCAAATTCTCAGCACCTTTGAAAACCAAGCAATAAGGCTTTCACCTTAGCCATAAATTAGTAAAAAAAAAAAAAAAAGAAAAAAAAGAAAAAAAAAAAAAGTAATTTTCCTCTGATTGCATTTGATCTTACCAATCAACTGCATCAACAGAACATGTAACTATTTAAACAAAACAAAGGAAGCAGTGAAAAGTGCCATGCTATAAATTACTAATATAAGGTTACCCATCTCACCGTTCGTGGTAACTCAATCATCTGTTTAAAAAATAAAGTCAGTGCTGTAGTAAATCTTTGTTTCCTATAAATAGATTATAGCACACACACAAAAAAGCCCACAAACAAACAAACACGGTGTTGTAAAAAGTTCAAAAACTTGGCTTGAAAATTGTCTGCTGGACGTAGCAAAACCCTCTCTCTGCAGGTTGTTTTAACACCGTGCAGGACGAACATCCAGCAAGTTAAAAAACAAATCCCAAAATCGCAACAACATGTAACAAGGATAGAAAGTGCTGCATATAAACCCCTGATGCACCAAAGATTATAACCAGAGACCACAGATTTTTGTATATATATCTCTCTATATATTAATTTAAACTGGAGCTTTCTCCAGACATGAAAATAGCCTTTAAAAAATTTTCAAACTAGAACACAAAACATATCGGGTACTCTGATGCATGGGGCTCTACATACAGACTCCGTATTACAGTATTTCACATAAATGGATTACTATATAACCTCCTTGCTGAGAAGGAGATCCCAAATGCTATTGTAGCAAACCTCCCTCAGCGTTAGAGCTGAGCTGAAAACTACTGGACACCACAAAGATGCATCATCTCAATAACCTAGCTGAGATTTCTCCACTAAGATGGCTGCGGCGAGCTGCTGAGCGTCTGTCACGTGAGGGTTCTTCTTCATGACAATCCTCACGAGGTCGGGGGGGAAGATGTTGCACAGGTTGATGTACACCTTCTCCCTGGTGTCTTGGTGCCTCGGGGGGTCTTGAGGGATTCCACAGTACGGTACACGCCACGTCGGGTCCTGCTGCTCCGGTAAGCTTTGGAAGGCAAACTGCTCGTAACACGGCTGTGTGGGGTTGCTGGGCAGAGAGTAGGTCTGACGGTAGCCGTAGGCATCCATCCCATAGCCCTGCCTGTCCCAGCTTCCCAGCCCATCTTGGCCAGCAAAAGGCTTTCTGTGTCTCAACGGAGAATTATCGTACAAACGTGAGTCTGAAATGCTATCTATCCTCGTGGACACAAGGGCTCTCCCCATGTGCACGGTCTTTGAGTGCGACGAACTCTGAGATGCAGAGTAGTCATTTGGACAACTAGAACGAGCACCGATGGTTGGATGCTGGAAATGCACAGCCATATACGGAATTGGAGGTTTGTGGTGATGCTTTGGTTCTTCGTGACTGTAACTTTGCACTCGTGTTAGGGGCTCGTGGTAGCTCTGTAGGAATGGCTGAGAGTTAAGGCGGCCATGCGGGTGCATATGTTGGCACTTCAAGTTCTCCTCCAGCTGCGGGTCAGGAGAGCTCATGTACGAGCGATCGCTGTAACCCACATAGGAATCACTGCTGCCACAGCTGACGCTCCCTTCACTACTGCAGTCAGAAGCTACAGAGCTAATCCTGTAATCTGTGTCCAAGGAGAAGCGCCTTTCAGGACTGCGTGGACCAGATATACTCAGACTTGAATATGCATTCAGCATGGAGTAATACCCTACATCCACTGGAGACTCGCATTTTGGATACTGGTCGTAAGGCATTGGTGTTCCGTGATTTTTGGTTGCCATCATCACTGTAGGATACTGTCCCTGTGGTCTTTGATCCTGAGGTGGAAAATGAACTCCAGATGGAAGGCCGTTGGTTAAAGGTGCAGTACTTTGGGGTTTTGCAGCAGAGGAGCTTGGTATACTAACTAATGAAGGTACAGACCTGGTTTCTAATTTGTTTTTGGTGGGAAGCTTTTCCTCCAAGTCTTGATAGACTTGAGTCCTTATACTAGGATCCGATTGCCTCTTCGGAGTGGCACGCTTCAGCTCAGAAGTGCCGTCATTCTTAGTGCTACAGGGAACACTATTGCTTTTTACCAGTCCTCCTTCACTTGTAGTTTTGGCAGCTGTACTTCTAGACATGGCACGAAGTTCGTCAGCTACAGATCGCTGAGGCTGATTTCCCCTTTCTGGGTGATAGTATTTGCATTTGTGTCCATAGGTACATTTCTTCCCTGTCAAGACAAAGATAATGAGATTTAAAAAAAAAACATCAGCAAGAAGAAAACAAGAAACAAAAGATCTTAATCATGAAACAATGGAAATCCTTCTCATTTAAAGTTTTACTCACAACTTGAAAGACTGATCAGAGGGCACCTTTCCTATGAAGACGTGTTGAGAGAGTTGGAGCTATTCAGCAGGCAGGAGAAGACTCCAGTGAACCTTACAGCAGGCATCCAGCACCTAAAGGGGCCTACAAGAAGTCTGGGGAAGGACTTTCTACAAGGACATGCAGTGACAGGACAAGGGATAACAGCTTTAAATTGAAAGAGGATAAATTTTGTTTAGATGTTAGGGAGACATGCTTCGCTGCGCGAGCAGTGAGGCACTAGAGCAGGTTGCCCAGAGAAGCTGTGTATGCTATATCCCCAGTGTTCAAGGCCAGGCTGGACAGGGCTTTCACTAATGCACAGTGGGAGGTGTTCCCACCTATAGCAGGGGGCTGGAACCAAATGATCTTTAAGGTCCCTTCCAACCCAAACCATTCTCTGGTTCTATGATTCTATGAAGATCTTGCAAATGCTATTGTGTGATGCAGAGTGAGAGTTAAGATCTCCTTTCATGTACTGTGGGTAAAAGAGGCAGTGGTAGTGCTCTGCAGCAACTGCTTCAGAACACAGACCAACATTACCAGACACACTTTGAGCTGAACACATCATCAGTGCGTATGCAGGCACTTGGTGTACTGTGCTAAGAAGACATACAAGTGGGAAACTTAATGTGAATGTTATGGAGCCATAAAAGCAGTAGACATTCAGCTCAGTTAAGATGGTCAGCAGCTAAACTTGAGGAAGCTCAATCCATTATCTGGCCAAAAGTAGCTTTCCAGAGCCTGAAGAATCCAGGCGTTGTTTTAGATCTCTTTCTACCAAAGACTGATGAAGTTGCTCCTTTAGTTCAGCTGGTAGATAGAAATGTTCTTTAACCATCACATTAAAAAAATCCCTTCAGCCTGCAATAACTCCAGTGCTCATCATTTTAAACATTCTCAGGCTAAGACGATAATGTAAAAACCTCCATCTAAAAGTTTTAATTCTGGCAGCATTAGAATAAAGCAGGGGCTGAGTCACCAGTTCCAGCAGTACAGAAAGCTGATGAGCAGGAAATCAAATTACCATATGGACACGGCTGCTTCTTGTGTTCTGGCACAATAGGCTTCTTCCTAAGAAAATTATCCAGACTTGGGCCATGGCGGCCAAGAGGATCATCAGGAGGCATAAATCTATAAAGCAACAAAAAAAAGTATTACAGAAGCAAATGCCCTTTCACATTCCTCCTGCACTAAACAAGAACCTCCAGGCGCTATAGCCTGCCATGCTAACATCTTTATGTTTGGGTACCCTGAGAGCTGTTTTCTTGAAAACAGCTGCAGCTTTTGATGTCACTGTACCACAGCCGCACAAGATCGACTTTCTGCTGCAGCACTGCCTATGCCACAACAAAAAGCCACCAGTAGTAAGTGGGTCCATCCCAACCTGGGCTGCTCTATGACTTCATGCTTTTGGAGCCACAGGTTCTCAAAACTGCTGGCTCAGTACACCAGGAGAATTTCAGTGTGACACTGTAGCACACGTAAAATACAGAATACACATTGGTATACACTAGAAGAGGCAAACAATTTTACGGTGAAAAGATATAAAAATACTACTACGAAAAAGCAAAGAAGCAGAGTTCAAGTACTTTCACTCACAACACCAAAAACATGACTAACTATTCCTTTTGTTTTCTTACATGTACTTAATGATTTTGGTGGAAGATAACAAATTCATACAAATCTTCAAACTGCGCTTTCCTCAGTTATGTAGTAGCACATATAAGGATAAAATGACTTACTTGTCATTAACAAACGAATACATTAGCAAGCGTTCATCTATGAACTTCTTCCACTCAGGCTTTTCATTTGCTAGATCCCTGTAGTTATCATTAGAAACAATGATGCCATCTGACTCAAAGGCCAGCTTCACTATAAATCGGTCATCGTAGCACACCACCCTTCTCCCTTGCACTCGGCGGGATGGTGTGAATACAAGAATCTTCTCTTTTTCCAATTTACGCAAGATTTCTTGATCTACAAAGAAAAAGAATCAAAAGTTGAAGAAGAAATAAAATGAAAATGTATTTGTTTGATCTCCAAAGACATTAGATTTTAGGAAGCGTTTATAACCATGTCTTAAAAGGTTATATTCCAGCAGAAGGTGTCTGATGTGTGATACTCAAAGCTAGAGTCAGCAGCCAACTGACAATACTCAAAAGAATACAAACACAACAAAACCCACAACAAATCGAAACACGGCGTGACTACTAACAGTACCACAAGGATCAGAAAACCTGCATTCTTTACAAACCTCAGGCTCTACCTAAATTTAGAACACCTCCTAAGAAGGCTTAAGATGTCATTTTGTTACCAAAATACATTCTGAGGAGCTCTGAAAGATGAGCTCAGGCTACCAAAGAGGGTAACCTGGACTAAGACTCTGGCCACAGCACCACAGTGCTAAGCACTGGGGCATCCCCACCTTGGGTCACTTCTATTGGCTATCGCTCTGCTCACAGCAGACAAGCTACGGAAGAAAAATGCTATGAAAGAAAAATTAACAGAAAGCTAGGCAACTCCTGAAACTGCAGAAGACACACACTGTATATGAGTCATGGCTCTTAATGATTCAGATCTCAAATCACTATTGTGCAGTGAAAGAAACCTGACAGAGAAAATGTTCCATACAGAAAAAAAAAGTCTCCAACAGGAAGAAATACAGCATAAATATTACAAATAAGCAATATATTTCAGGCCAACATTATCTGCTCACTAGAAAAGCCACAAGATTAAAATGATGTCCATCCTTTCTGCAGTCATTTTTCCCCCCATGCAGCAAATGATATGTAAGAGTCTGAAGGATGGCCATTTCTTTCCCCATTAAGAAAGAACAAAATATCTGTCATGTCTAGATAAATGGCAGGTAGTAATAAGAAAAATGCAGCTGTTGTTTGGTCCAAGAAGTTCCTCACAAATATGGACAGCGCAGAGCCATTCCCACATCAGTCACTTCAGACCTTGACAAAATTGCAGGTGGTCACATGTTTCAGTATCTCTGGAAATGGAGTGTCAGCACAATGTGCTTCTGCAGGCTGGCTACAAGCAGGCACCCTGCATCCTGCTAAGAAAGCTGAAGAACTCCTGCTTCACAGCACAGACAAAGAAGAATACATGATTCTATGATTCTTCTTCGATTTGCCTCCCATTTACCAGCTCCCTGACAAGGCACAGCAAATTCATCTTCCATTGGTAGAAAAATAGCCGAAATTAGAATTTCTGTTTTCTCAAAACTCCTTTTTGGGATTCTAGTCCTAGCCACAGCTCTAGCAAGTGCTACATTTCAACTCTAAGTAGTCAAGTCCTTATTACTCAGCCAATGCTCTTCTCATACCTCAAACACTAACATAATGAAATGACTTGAACAAGACCAGCTCAAGCCTTGAGACACGTTAATACATCTTCTTTCTCAGGTTATGGTTTTCTTTATTTCCTTTGCAATAGGCTACATCAAATGTTTACCTATGTATACGTTCTCTTTCAAGGGAAAGATCCCACACCACCTCTGATGAGGGCTAACAATACCTTTCCAAATCCATTTTTTGCCTTAACATGATATGTTCTAGTAACCAGCAAGCAAATTAAATGAAGCACTGGAAAGATCTTTCTAGAAATTCAGAAATGCATGTGGAAATCAAAACATGCTTCCATATTCTTTTAGCAGCCATCACTACTATTCTCATAAGCTTCCCTTCCTTTAAAGGCAGCTTTAAAGGCATGTTTAAAAAGCTGAAAAATAATAATAATAATAAAAAAATTCTGATTCTCCTCTGTTTCAACTTCTCAGCAGCAGGAAGACAACCCTTCAGCCTTCATAGGGAATCAAGAAGCTGGATAAAGAAACAACTGCATCTACATCAAACTGTTTGGAGAGTAAACACATTCAAAGTGAAGAAAACAAATAAATCAGCAGCCTTCTCACTCGTTAACAGTAATGTTCCAAATGGAACTGCTCCACGCTGCCGGGATCATTCCCTTTGCTCCCAGCACAGGGCAGTGACTCACTGCAGGTGACTGCAGACAGGGCAGGCTGGCAGACTCTGCTCACCACAAGAAAGATCATTCCGTGAATCACAGCTTTCAAACCTCTTTGCTGCCAAGGCTACACGGGCGTAACAGATTTAAAAATGGCAATTACGTCCCTGAAGACATCAGGAGCAGCATTAAAGAAAAATTTAGAAGGCGAGCAGAGAAAGAAGATGTGGAAAGGGCACTACTCTGTCCTTTTCTTTTCTTTCCTAAAGACTGTAATGAAGTTGGTGCACCAAAGATACCTTCTATTGCAGTCTTACATTTCTAACAATTTGCCCAATAGCCACTCACATTGAACAAAGCACCCCACCAGCCAGTGAAGGCAGAGCAGAGCTTACCTGTGATAAGGGCATCAGGTCTCGACTGTTCTTTCCTCCACGCTGGCACGAATACGGTGACATCCTTGTGGCCTCTTTCCAAAAACCAATCTACTGCCAATTTGATCCCTCGACAAGAAAAGACTTCTTTGTTCCCATGGCTGAAACACACATTAAATTTCCTTATTATATGACTTTGCTTTTCTCTGAGTGCACACGGAACACAGTGAAGCACACATCTCCCACCCAATGTCACGTTATCCACGTGCTCCAGAGTTTCTAAAGGCAAGCAGGAGTCAGTCTGAGCTTTGACCAAACACTGCCATCAATTGTATGGCATGGGAGAGGGATTGTGAATCTGCAGAGTACTGTCAGCATCTCTTTGCAGACTGGAGAATAAGGAAAAAACATAAGCAGAGTGTTAAAAATCCTCACAGCCCAACCAAAAATCTGGTATATAACAGCCGTAATGGAGATTTGATATGGGACAGCTGAAATGCTGACATGAAAAAGTGCAAATTTCTTAGGAAATGCTGGCAACAAATAGTGAGCCCTGAGGGCACGGTGGCAGAGCCCAGCAGGAGCTTCCCTCAAGCTCAGACAGAGGAGAAGGATTCCAACACCAGGCACTCTACAGACAGCTCAGGCAAACTGGAAACACCCTGTTAAAGCAACAAGAGAAAACTAAGAATTTGCTTAGTACTGCACTCAGGAAGGTGAAATTAGTTGTGTATTAAAAAACCATGGAGAGGCGCAAGTTCAGCAGAATATGATCAGACACAAGCAAAACAAAAGAAGTGCACCCATTGTGCAATAACTGTCTGAGGTAAAGTGAGAGACGCAATTATTTCATTTTCTGAAGGTAGGTGACGCCTCGTCTGACTTCCACATCCAATTTCAGGCACCACAGAACATGAAATACACAGGAAAACTGGAAAAAATCCAAAGGAAAGCAAAACGAGACCTATGGGGAAATGCTGGAAAAAGCGCATTCAGTTAATCTAGGATAAACAAGCCTATGGAGGAACAAAACTGTCTTCAGCACATCGCATGTAATTAAAACAGAGCATGTCTATCAGCCATTGGGCCCCCATGGTCCTGGGGAGGCTGCAGAGGTGGCCTCTGGGAGGACGGGCTGAGGCTGTCCCATGCTGCACACAGCTGGTTCCAGCCTTTTTTGCCTGCAATTCTACTTGGTAAGCAATTTCCCTGTCCTTATTTTGAGTTTTCTTGCTCTCGTTCCTCCTGTTTTTCCCCAGTCCTGCTGTGGGGTGGTGGTGAGCAAACAGCTGGGTGGGTGCTTGGCTCCCAGCCCTGGTCAGCCCATGGCAGTCCCACTGAGCAGTGATGGCAAAGTCAGCACAAAATGCATGAGAAACAGTTAAGCAATATGCTTGAAAAGGCTTTCTAACTGACTAATGGGACAATCTGCCTAGAAATGATTTGGAATCTCCTCAGTGGACATTTGTAAGTACAAGTCAGATGGCTCTGGTCCAGGTTTTGTCCCCATGCACAAGAGGAGATCAGCAATTTCCACGAGGTCCCTCCCAAGCCCACAGCTCTGCACAGCAGAAGGGATACACAGGATGACAGCAAGCTGCTAATAGCAAAAGGGACAAACAGGGTGACAGCAAGCCATTAGCTTTTGCCTCACTGGCTTGCCATGTCCTGTATGAACACCTCCTCATCTGGCTTTTGAAAGGTAAGAGAATTCAACCACTAAGGAGTGATTTGTGAAAGATATGAACAGAGCTAGTCACCTAAAAGATCTTCCAGTAGTAAAGTTTATAGGGAAATACAAACCCTAGAAAAATATTTTAAAACTTGTGCTTTTCTCTGTTTGGCAGAACCATTCTGAAGTACCTGCTGCTTCCACCTCTCTAACATGCTGCACTGCTCATGTTTCTTGACAGTCTGAGGGAGCCTGAATAATGCTGCAATGGATGAGACAGCCCTGTAGTAGTGAGAAAAAAACAGAAGCTGTTTAGATTTGAAATGCCTGCAGAGGGTGTGGCGTGCACCTCTAGGGGCACACAAGGCCAGGCTGGATGGGGCCCTGGGCAACCTGATCTGGTAGGTGGCAGCCCTGCCCACAGCTGGGGATTGGAAGTGGGTGAGCTTTAAGGACCATCTACCCAAGCCATGCTGTGATTCCACTGCTCTTATGAGTCTACAAGTTGAAAGACAAGGAGTTGTGGCTGACACATCTCACAGAGCATTGTCCTCAGCAGAGGCTGTGTTGGATGTCACAGGCTCTGCACAAAATACCAAAAAAAAAAAAAAAAAAAAAAGAGAAAAACAAAACCAAAAGACCACTACCAGAATGTGGGTTTAACCAAGAAATTGCATTATTTCCATTATTTCCTTTTCCAGCAGTTCCAGAGACAGGACCTGGAAACGTGAGCTCCGTACTAAGACACTGCAGTTGCTGCAGACTGTCAGCCCGTGGGTTTTAGCTGGCACAGGGACAGTTACTTCTGCTGGGTGACGTGAGGTTTCCCCTCTGCACGCCTCAGCCTCGCAGATGTAAGGCCTCCCCTGCAGAGCTGATACAAGAAGTTACTGCTCACGCTATCAGCAGGCCATGTACAACCGTACACACACTGCAATCCATTTTAAAACAGTTGGGAAGGGTTTGTTCCAGCTTCTAAATTCCAGTGAAATCATTGTACTGTTATTACTCTAAACAATCTCTCTGGTTTCCAATGGGTAAGACCACACTTCACTCCTTACAGAGAACAAGTGTTTTGTAAGAGTTCGTTTTAGTAACAGTATGAACAGTACATTTTTTCCCATAAATGTGAGAAATTGTTTCTGGAATGAGATGCTGGCCTGAAAGAGATGAGAATTCTTTCCGGTTGCTTTCCATCCAGTTGGAATTCAAGCCACACTGCTCAAGGCACAGCAAGGGAAAGGCAGCTCAGCCTAACACAAAACATGAAAATCTTGCCACTCAGAACATCAATCTGGAATGTACTTAAACTCTCATGAAGTATGTTACAATGCATACAAACTTTCAGGCACTGCTGAGTGAGATTTAAAGTTCACATAAATCTTCACACTATTTCTGCCACTTTTCTGATCCGTGCCCATGCTAACATTGGAACTGATACAAAGTCCAATTTAAATTATTAGTGAGAAACTCTGAAAAGCACCTGGTTAAAATTTGTGCTTTTGGTTTTGTGGTGATGCAAATTTCATGCTCTCCTTCTCTGATCATTGTGCTTCATCTGCTTTATGATACATCATACGATGAAAGGACTGAAATCACCCCTCTTCCCTGCCTTTCTTCCTTCTGGTAAAGAACAGGAGAAATATTTGTACTTCTCTTTTTTTTTCAATCTCTTCTCAAATATGACAAGAATATGGAGGCTCGGGGCAGGCAGGATGACAGTGGTAGCGAAATCACTGTGTTCTGCATTGGTTCTGCCTACTGACCGATTGCATGTAAACCACTGCTTTAACTTAAAGGAACACAGAAATATTTCTTAAGCACCTATTACTATTTCATACCCTTCATGAGTGATTTTTTTGTTATATTTGGTCTCTTGATAGATGTAGCTTCACTTTTAAAAGGATAAAAAGTAGCAGTACAACCCTGAATGCTTCCTGAACAAAAACAGTCAAGCATTTTCTAGGCTAGCAGTCAGTAGAACAGTGGTAAGATATCTGATCAAATCATTTTTATCTTCCCCATTTCCTTATTTGTCCCCACATTCGATTTTCATGTGGCTAAACAGTTGAAAAGAGTGAAGCATGCTCCTAAAACATTGATTGCTAACAACAGTTGCAAGACTTCTGGTGCGTTCTCATACAATATTCAACCCAAAATTTGGCTCTCAGATTGAAAGCTGCAGGATACGCACACACTAATGACATCAGAGCTGAAGGCAACGCTGATGAGTGTCGCAATTCATCCACAGGCTTTTATCTAAGTGAAACCTGGACATGAGATACTTTGCAGGAAAAAGCATATTGACTAAAAACAGGAACAACAAAATGTAGATCAGTCCAGCGAACTCAGAGGACTAGCAAACTACTTTCTTCCAGCAGGTAACAACAGGAAAGCAGTCCACAACAGGGAGATGAGCATTTCCACCCTGGCTCAGTGCCTTGTTAGGCTGGCAGACTGGTTTTGTATCTAATCTCAACCCTTTTCTAAAAAAAACCTCTTCGAATTTCCACCAGATTCCTGCCCACAGTAATTTGTCCCAAAGCACTTCTCAGCAACCCAAATCTTCTATCCGTTCTGCATTTGCTCCTTATTTGTACAATGTGGTGCAGGTGTGATGTGGATAGAACAGTTTCTAAATGTGTTTTTCTTTCCATTAGACCATGACAAATGACCCCCATGCTTTGAGGTCTTTGAAGGAGCTCTGGAGGCTGTAACACCACACAAAATGCCACTACAGGGGTATGAAGTGCTGCCACCAGCCCAACACGCAGGTGTCTGACTGAACCAGAGTCACGCACGCTGCAGCCAGACTTCAAAACGGGCAAAGAGAAGTTGCACTGAGAGCTGCCAGTAACAAGCTGCCAGCCACATGATCATTACTTGTTGGAAAAATATTTTTATCTATTGCTTGGAGCGGTTTCTCAAAATAATCTCAGAAACAAGGCAGACTATGGAGAAAAAACACTGCTTTAGGCTACCGGTAAGATGGATGCCTGAATCCATCCACGTTCTTGTGCCTACTGAGCTCAGTCTGAGAAGAGGCTAAGCTGTTAGTGCAATTATTTTAATAAGTCTGCAGTTTAATTGCTAGATGGAAACTACATCTGGCATAAAAGAGACAACTCAAATCGTCCTTTGGTTGACAGTGTGCAGAGTCATTTCCAGCTGCGGAAAAACTAAGTAGACTGGTATCAGCAAAACTTTTACCACGGTCAAATGACCTGCATCATGACTAATACACATGGACAAGGCTCAGATTCCTAAACGGAGATGCCTAATGCTTGATAGCTGCCTTTGGGTATCTCACAGATCCTTTTGAACAACACCAGTGCTGTCACAGTTGCCAGACACGGAAGTGCATTTCTGCCCCTGCTGAGCACCCAAACCATCCAGTTGGATAGATGGCTGGGAGTGAAAGCTGTAAGAAAACTGCAAAATGCCTCTGATAGAATCATAGAATCATTTGATTTGCAAGGGACCCTTAAA